ATTAAGAACTAACAAAACGATCTCAGTCATGGCCTCTTGGAGTTCTAGTAGATCAGGCTGATGTCAAATAAGGGTAGTACACAAGAGATGCCAACTGATTCTAGGAGGCCATGAAGTATATGGAAACTAGCACATATGACCTGCTGAACCTCAAGCCTGGAGTGAAAGAAACCTGCAGAAAGCAATTCAGACCCCACAATGAGTGCTCAGCAAAGCACCAGGACCTTTGAAAGCAAGAGGCAGGGTACAAGTAAAAACAGAAGGATTGCCCATGAAAGGACCTAACTGCTACTTTGCTATTAAAAAGGGAACATTCAGGCAAAAAGAAAGGTTTTGGTATTGTTATAATTTGAATGTTTCTAAAATTCATACTGGAATTCAATTTAAGGATGGATTCTTTTAAAAAGTCGTTCAGCCATGATGAATTGCCATTATGAAAAGCTGTTTTCTACTCTTCTTGTATTCTGCTATATGATTATGCAGCAATAAAGATCTTGCCATCTTGCCAGATGCTAGAGTTTGATATTGGACTTCCCTTTCTCCAGAACTGTAAGCCAATGAGTACCTGGCCTATTATAAACTATCTAGTGTTTGATCTTCTATAATAATAGCACAGAACAAAGAGAAAGTTAGACAACAAGGAGAAGTAGTTTTTTTAAGATTTATTTTATTTTTATTGGAAAGGTGGATATACAGAGAGGAGAGGCAGAGAGGAAGATCTTCCCTCCAATGATTCACTCCCCAAGTGAGTGCAACAGCTGATGCTATTCCGATCCGAAGCCAGGAGCCTCTTCTGGGTCTCCCACACGGGTGCAGGGTCCCAAAGCCTTGGGCAGTCTTCGACTGCTCTCCCGGGCCACAGGCAGGAAGCTGGATGGGAAGCAGGGCTGCCAGGATTAGAACCGGCGCCCATATGGGATCCCGGGCGTGCAAGGCGAGGACCTTAACCACTGTGCCATCGCACCGGGCCCAACAATAGCAGAAGTTAAAATTCAATTGCAATTCTGAAGAAAATGTTGGGGAAAAAAATCTTCTAACAGTAAAACAGGAAGACCAAGAGGTAAAAAGTGCCAAACAAAGAAAAATTAGAGACTACCCCAAGAGGCACATCATGCAAGTAAATATAATCTTAGGGAAAGAGAACATTAAAAAAGACTGAGAAAAGGAAGATAAAAAGACTGAACTTTCCAAGACTGAAAGATGTGAATGTCAGGATTAAAACAGAGCATGAAATACCTATCATAGTGAGTGAGAACAGACAAAAGAACCCTAAAAATAATCCAGAAATAAAACAAACATGACATGCAAAGAACCATAACTTGAGATTATATCAGAAATCTCAGCAGCAACACTGGAAGCTGGAGCATGCTGGGACATTCTGAGAGAACACGACTCCCAGTGGGCTTCCAAGAATAATGGAACACTCTGTTGTCAACTATAAAATGTCTTAGCAAATTTCTGTTCTGCATGCTCTTTCTCAGGGCTCTATTAGAGCATGTGTTTACTCAAGGAAGTAGAACAAGAAAGTGGAAGGTGTGTGGTCCAATAACAGGTGATCCAGCTCTGAGCTGGAAGACAGGGTCCCCAGGGTGAAGGTGGAAAAATCATCCTGAGGGCAGCTGGGAAGCATGGCCAGACTGGAGGAACAGGACTCTTAAGAAAGACCTCTCCAAGAAAGAGAAAGGAATGGATTTCCTTCCTTGCTAGATGGTTTTATTCTATTTTAGCTCAATTTAGGGAGTTTAGTGCAGAATTAGTAATAATGCATAGAAACCAAGCACTGAGAAAGATACACATAGATCACTTCATATTCAGGAATACTTTGATAATCATTGTGAAAACGGAATATTGGTTTAAGTTAAAAGATGGGAGGATGGTGGGAAAGCTAGTGGGTACATGTTGATTGAAAGAGGAGGAAGAAAAGATGCATCTTGTAAGAGCACATAGCTCTACACATGGAAGCTCTTTTCAAATGACTAGGACTCACCACAATCAATATGAGACAACAGAGGAATCATGGGTCAGGAAAGATTGTAGGTTGGTTAGAGTGAGAGGCTGAGGCAGGAAAAACGAATTTAGAGTAGATGCCAAACATTTTGGGATCTGTGATTTCTTTAATAATATAATAATATTATGGATTATATTATTATAATATATTATATAATAATATTATATATAATAATAATATAATAATAATATGGATTTTTCCTACAAAAATTACCTGCATATAATTAAAAATGCGATTATAGAGACTTATGTATGGTAGGCTGAGACTATTCTCAAAATTAAAGAATGTGAATTAAAGGTCTTCAAATAGGCTAGGGGTAGGGAAAATAAAGTTAAAAGATAAGTTTATTTTGGTGCATTTTTTTAAAGCCCACACACTCTTTCACAGTACACATTTTCTGTGTATTTTCAGGAAAGCCCTCAGACTTCTGAGAAGTCGCTGAACACCTTGAGTTTCTAGCATCTCATCTGTGTTTCTGTGCCTTTGCTCAGCAGCGATCAGGGAAGTCCAAAAGTAGCAGGTGATCGATCAGAGGGCAGGACGTGAGTTTAGGGACTTAAGAGCCGTCCGTGGGGGTGAGATGAAGTCAGAGAGGGTGAGAGCATCAGAGTGAAGGCACAGCACAGGCCAGTGAAGATGTGGAAGAGGCAGCAGCAGAGTTATCTGTGTGGCGCACAGGAGCCTTCAAAGGGTGCATTGTCTGTTTTGAATAGACAACAGTAGTAAAATTAAGTCTATGTTCTGTTTATTCTCACCATGCACAAGCAGTCTCAAACTCTGACAATGATTAAGTTTTCCTCCCCCAAAATATCTTGATCTAAGACCTGAACAATTGCTTCCACCAGGGTAGACTTGGCCACTGAATAGCTGATAAAGAGTCTGAGACTGAGACAGTAGGGCAGGCCTTGAGCTGGTCTAGGTTATGGCTAAGGGGGTGGTGGGTGGCTGTGATGTGGAGCCAGAGCTCATTTGGTGCTATCATAGAGGATGAATCTGCCAGCTGGATGGTGAGAAGCAGTGTTCAACTCATTGGTTTTATCTTCTACAATCTAGCTGTTGTCTAGAATCCTAAATTCTTGCTTTGACTTGACCCAGGTGCTAGACATAACTGTGCATACTTTCCCATCTTCAATTGTCAGCTCTGCTCAAATCTATGTCTGCTTCCTATCATACTGCCTTTTCCACCCTCTATTACAGATGGCTTGTATTTATTTATGTGGGAAAAACCCCGCTAGACTTGGAACTGCCTGAGAGTGGTGATTGGTTTTTACTTCTCAGTTGGCAGCTCTGACAATCACTCACACACTTGTAGAACCAATGCATAGATACATATTGCTCTTTTCCTTATAGATTCTTTGGGTTTCAGATGCTGAGGGCCCAGTAAATACACCATGCTGCTATCCTCCTTCTCCCATATAAAGAAACCTAATACTGGCGCCCCTTCAATCCATGAGGAACCAGACTGGAGAGAGTCCGTGTCACTGCAAATCTCACCGTGAGAACATTGTCCTAGGGTCCTCTGAGTCCTGAGTGATGCCTATTGGCACCTGAGTGGAGACCCCTAGAACTTTACTGTGCTCAGTGCTATACCGGTAATGCACAGATTTTAGGGGCCACTGGTGTCCTAAAAGAATTTAGGTGCTTCTTGAAGCTTCTTGCAATGTGTGGATTAGAAGTAATTCTGCAATGGACACATACTGGTGCCGTTTACCCATGGGGAATCACAACAGGGTTGATCTTTCTCTATGAGATGAGCCATTTCTACACTGGACTGAATCTCTGCCATCCCTCCCCATTCTCCTCTTCCCAAGATGGGAGAAAGACTCCTGTGGGCTTGTAAGACACTGGTTAATGAATTACGTCAAGCAGTAAAAAAAATTAAGAATTGAGATCAGAAACAGGAACTTCCTAGATGAAAAATCCAAGAAGCAAAGAAAGTAGAAGTGAAGCCCTACAAGCAGTCAGAATCCTGCAATCCCTCAACAGATCCACAGTTCCTAGGAAATTAGAATGCATGCAATGTGATCAAATGTCCTCAACTCACCATCTCACCTGGGAGCACTGGCATAGAGCCTGTCTTCCTTCCTGAACAGCGGATTCATAACTAATTTACCGTATATGGTCTCTGGGTAGGGTGGAGGTCATGTTTAATATTTAGTAAATGTCACCAGGGTGGGGCATAATCACAGCTGCCGTGAGCATTTGAGGCTTTTTCATAGGATTAGCTTGGGTAGATTACAGAACTCCTTATTCCCCTGATAATTTTATAAAATATGCTTTAAAAAATCTCGTCTATATGAAGGAATTAAGCTTCCCCTTTTCTCTGTAGCAGCCACCTGTGGTTCTACTGCTGCCCTTTGTTGGAACGTCTAAATAATTGAAATCTTTAATTGGGTTAAAGCGATCCTTAGCCTGTAGATGTTCTATAGATTTGAAAAAGTGAGTAAATAATATTGGACTCTTTCCTTTCATGCCTTTCTCTTCAAAAGCTCATTTGGTTTTGTTTGTATCAGTAGCTCATTGTTAGGGGACTCAAAGGAGGCTTGCTTTCAGCTTGGGTGGGGCTTTCCCAAAGAAGTTCTTTCCAAGTGGCTTCAGGTGCACTACCACATTTTTGTTATTCATTTTGGGCTTTTGTTTTTTGTTAAAAATTAGTAGTTTTTTTTTCCTGCACATGCTTGGGTTTTGTCTTTGCAGCTAGGATCAGACAAAAAAGTCAGGGTAGCAGGCTGACCTTGCGTTGCTATCTGCATTCACAAAGGTTTAAGGAGCCTCCCTACAGACAGCTGAAGCAGAAAGAGAAGAGCAAAATGCTTATGAAGAGGAAGTGGCAAGAGGCGTCTGAATTTCAGTGTGACCTGTTCCGTCAGGTGATTTTGGGTGGAGGAGGAGATGTGAAGAAAAAAAAAAAACTTTAAGTAAAATGTCCTTATAAAGACAAAATCTATTTCTTTCCTGGCTGATGATTTGTCATTCTAGTCACTTCCTGCCTTGTGACCACACACCCCGGGCTTGACAAAGCTGTTCTGCAGATCAGAAAGGAGGAGGTTGCTGGTCCCACACCAGTTCCAGGTCTACTGAAGAGAGTTTTTCTAAAAGGTAACTTTGCTTCTTTGTGTTTAAGTGGTTTTGATGCTGTGCAGCTCTGTGGGGATTGTAGATTTGGCTGCGGGGATGCTTGAGCTCTGAGCACCTGTCACCTGAACCTGCTAGGAACCCTGCTGCTCTCAGACCAGCTAAGCAATCTGCATTCAACAGGCTGGGATGGAGCCCCTTAGCTTTCAGGATTGGGAGATTCTTGAATTGTCCCTAGTAATTATGCCTCCAAAGGTACGTTTTCGGGTTTATTTTGACCTTCTTGAGACAAACTGTGTTCAGATTCATTTCTGTTGCTTTGCTTCAAGAAGACTGTTTACTGTGATTTTATCTACTTTAGAATGTTTTCAGCAAAGTGGTTATTGATCAGTTAGATGGTGCTACTCCTTGGCCTAATGGGGTTAGTTTAATTTTAGCTCCTGCGGTTCTATTTTTCTAAAAACTGTTACAGGATGTTAGTGGATGTATTAACATCTCAAATCATATGGTGCTGAATCTGACGCTGGGTTATAGAGTGATTTTTGGCGCCAACGATTTTTAATGGGTGTGCTTCATAGCCACATGGAATATAAAATAAAGTCTTTTCCATTTGGTCTCTAAAAATAAAGGCTGTTTGTGTTGCTTAATTGCACTGCTTTTTTGTTTTAGAAGATTGTCTGAATCATTTGTTAAGCATGCTCCAGTTATTCTGGGGGAAAGCCTCTGTCTATGATAGAAATTATTACAAAGTTAATATGGAGTATTCCAAAAACTTTGCTGAAACATAGAAATGATTAATCTTGAAGTGCCAGATTTGACTTTATTAGTGCAATCAGACAGTGAGCCTTTGACAGTCCTTTGGACTGGAAATGGAGACAGCAACTGGCATAATTATTAAAGTCTATCTTTTTTTTTCTTAATCAAGTATTAACAACTTGTTTTCTCAAAAATTTTCCCTTAAAGCAACACTTTTAAAACCCCTCAGTGGATAAATAAAGATGGGTTATCCACAGACTTCTTGATTGTGAATTTATATAAACTTATTATGTTTGATTTCCATCAAATGAAAAGTATCTAAAGAATGTGTGGGCACACTTGAATGGAACTAACCATTAGTATGTGATTTCTCAAAATTACGAACTGGATCCATCATATGAATTGCAACCTCTCACCTTAATAGTCTTAAACTATCCAAAGCGTGGAATCAGTGAGAGTGGCTGGAATCTCTTAAAAGTACAAACCAAGAAAAAAAAAAAACAACCAAACAGTGTTTTCTTAAGTAGACATTACTGAGAATAAAACAAATTAGACAGTAAAGAAATGATAATATCTATTTTCTTCGCATTTGGGAAGGAACTAAAATGACAAAGGCAATTCAAAGTAAATAAAGCCATTTTATAAAATCAAGTTTAGGCTGCCAAGGTGTCACCCTGATGTCCTGATGTGCTGCACACCGTCCAGTCCCCTTTGTGGGACTTAGTCCCCAGTACCATTAAGGCAGAACTTTCTGGGCTGTGCCCTCTGAACCAGTGCCACTGAGCTGTAGTTAGGAAGACATTTACTACTAATCTCAGGGGTGATTTCCTTGTAACATTTGAATTTTTGAATCCTTCCGAAGGAATCAGCAGTCTGAGAAATAATTTCAGTACTTTAGCTTCATGTATAATTTCCTCTGATCTTTTTGGAGAGGGGAAGGTCAACAGATAAAGATATATTAAAAGTTTCATGTAGTAGTAGAATGGAGATCGACTTTCTTTTCATTAGTACACGATTTTAGTGAAAAAAAAGGAAATTGTACGTTCATAAACTTATTTCAGCTCACTTCCCCAACCTTACTTCTTGCGACTTCCTTTTTGTCTTACCACCCTCACCCATCCCCCACTCTCTGGTTGCTCTAGACCACAAGCCACCAGAAAGTTCTATGCTCTTTCACTCCTTTTCACTCCAACTGTTCCTCTAATTGCTTTCTTCTTGTAAAAAATTCAATCATTTTTCAAGGTTCACTTTAAGCAGCATGCCCCTTTGGAATCCTTCCCCATCAGCTCCCATTCCCACTCACTTACTGATCCTGGAGTAAGTGTAGCATGAATCATATTATTTTAGCTCCAAGTCCTTATGTGCTGGTAGACTTGAGATCTTTCTCCATCTTTTGTAGCTCATACGAGGTGCTGATTTATTTACTGCACTGAAGATTTTTCCATAGTTCCTTTTTAACTGAATATTTATTGATCTCTCATGGTAGCGGATATGAAATAAGGCACAGCAATAATGTGGTGTTTTATACTCTACCATGCTTACGGTTCATTTTAGTCTCAAAATACCATAAAGACATTGACCTTAAGGGTTGTATGAAACTATACAATTATGTTAAAATACAGAAAAAATATATAATCTCATTATTTTAGTCTAATAAAGACATTGAGCTAAAACTCACTACTCTTACCAAAACAGGCATCTCTGAAAACAGAAAGCATAAGAACAAAAATCATAAGCTATTATTTAATGTTTGAATTGTTCTTGAAAAATTCTGAAGTCAGCTTCTTATATAGTACCCTTTGTGAATACAGGAGAAATGGCAAATAAATGTTGTGATTAGGTTATATAAAATTCAGAAACTTGCTCATTGAGTTATATCTATGAAATCAAAGTTTATAAAGGTAAATTATGAAGCCACTGGATTTTATAACTAAAGGTAGATTATATTGCTGAGCGACATCACTTAGCTTCATCTAACTTTCCGCCTAGAGTTTGTTGATTTGGTAGTTTCTTAACTCACACGTATCAATTGAAATAATCCTATTCACTTACATTTTACATGCCTCAGAAATAAAAAATTTGAATTAGAGTTCATGAAAATACGAAATGAATCAGTGTCTGCAGATTAAAAAAATTTCCTTTATGCCTATTATGCCAGGTGACAATTCACCTCTTCAATCCCCATTGTTTTTGTTGTGAACACCTAGAAATTAGGATGACATGGTCAGTCCCAGGACTATCCCTTCCGCCTGCTTTCCCCAGTTCTCTCCTTATCCTTCATCCTGTCAGACTGTTGAGTGTTCCTGTTTTGCTTTGTCAATCCCAGTAATTACATCAGACTTCTCAGCTATTGCCTAATGACCCCATCTTGTATGATGTTGCAAGCAACAGTGGGAAGGGAGATGAGTTTCATGTTATCATGCAAATAATAACAGCTAATAATTACTTCCTACCTACTTTTAACTGGGTATTTTTCCTAATCTTTATTAACTTATTAAAGCATTTAATCATGGAGAGGCTTTTACTTTCTATCAAAAGGGAATTAATTCATTCACTTATTTAATTTTCTACAGTTGAATAAAGTTGTATTAACTATAAAAATAGCTACTCCAGGAATAAGCAGGCAGCAAACTATATTGTTTTTTTTTAATACCAAAGCCCTGAAGTAAAACTTTAGTAGTCATAACCTCTCCTAAATAAGGTTGATGATATAGCTGTTCCTATGAAGCAGGGTAAATATGTATCTACCACACCAACATTCAGCTTCTCTGCAAATTTAAATGAATAGTTGATCTTTTTTATCAATTTAGAGACCCAAATGTGGATCACAAAATATGATCTCTAACCCCAAAACCTTAAAAGCGTTTGAGACTTGGAAGTTTACAATAATTTTATTCAAGTGACATTCCCATTTTCTAGGCTGTTGTGATGGATACAAATGCATTAAACACCTCAGTATTTATACTCTAGAACATATATCTGTAATTGTACCATAATGGCTGAATGTAGGTGTCCTAGAAATTGAAAGAATGAAAGATCGTTTTAGTCGTGGGTGAAAGAACAGAGGTAAATGACCCATTTACTCACTGAGTTAAAATAAGTTTGCTTAGCTTCATGGCTGTGTCAGCCCCACTTTCAAGTTACAAGGAGGTTGTTTCTCAAATATGGTCAGTTGTTTTTTCTGGCGGAAGGAAAAGCTAAGAAGTTAAATTGAGGAACTTAACAAAGCCACAGTTTTGTGGGTGCAGCATTGATTCCCATTTTAGTCCAAAAGTAATAGACAGTCTCTTGCACACACTTGCTCTCTCTCTCTTTCTCTCTTCTTCTCTCTCTGAGACACACACACACACACACACACACACACACACACACACACACCCCTCTTCTTGACTGACAGATAAAATGAAGAGATTACATTCTCCCAAACAGAAAACCCCAGACACCAAATTTAGCAGGCAGATGAATTATGCATGTGAATTGCAGTCTCTCGGATAATTTGTTTTTCTTTTTTCCTGGATGCATTGTCAAGGAAATGAATTAGTGAGATAATTACCTTGTATTTGAGTAATATCCTGCATTTTGATCCCTGTCTGGTCATTCGTACTAGAATATGTCCAAGCCGTGTGTCCAAATGTATGAAATAAGAAGATACCCAAATATATTTTACACAAGGTTTGCAAAAAATTTTCTATTCACCAATTTCTCAGGCAATATTTATTAGACGTACACCTTAGGTGGAGTATTTTTAAATGTGTACTTTAATGACATCCTCCAACCCATTTTCTGGCAGGCAAAGTTCTAGTGTAAATACAAGCTCATAGTAGAGAATGCTAGGTGATGTGGTACAAAGTGAAAAATGAGAAAACTTGAAGACTATGTGTTCAGTTTTGCATGGTTTTGTACCCATCCTTTACCTAAAAAAAAAATAAAATAAAAATTGAATTTCTGTTGCTATTTCCCATCCTATCTCTATGGCTTTCCCACAGCCAGGAGGTGAGGGTAGCCGCCTGGGAGGGTCTTTTCTGATGGTGCTTTCCCCTCATTGTCTTTCTCGTTGAGAACTTCCATCAGAATATCAACCACTGAGAGTGACGGTTGAGACTCCACCTGTGTGGTGGCGATCCTACTGTTTCCCTCTCACACGCACCCTCCCTGCTCTCTGTCTTGTACTTTCAGGACCTCCATACATCTGAGCACATGTCAGGCTTTTTTTAAAGCTTAGAAGACTTCTATAATTCCTTCCTTCCATCTGTCCTTCTTTCCTTCCT